TGAAAGGAAGAGAAAAGAAAGAGAGACTGAGTGAGTGCGAGAGTGGGTGGGTGAGTGTAAGAGAGAGAGAGAGGGAGAGAGACAAAATGAGAAAGTAAAAGAGATAGAGAGAGTGAGTGGGAGTTTGTACGAAAGAAAAAGAGAGGAAAAAAGAAAGAGAGTGTTGTAAAAGAAAGTGAGAAAGAAATAGAGATAATGAGTAACAAAGAGAGTGAGAGATACTAATAATAAAAAAGATAGAAAGGAAGAGAGAAAGTGAGTGTGAAAGACAGTGAGAGAGACAGAAAGAAAGAGAATGAGAGAGGTACTGAGAAAGAGAAAGAGTGAGAATATGAAGAGAAAGAAAGAGGAAGCGAGTGCGAGAATGGATTGGTGAATGTAAGAGGCAGAGAGAGACAAAGTGACAAAATAATATAGTGAAAGAGAGAGAGTGAGAGAGAGCCTGTGAGCGAGTGAGTGAGAGAGAATGAGAGAGGGTGAGAAAGAGTGAAGAAAGAGATTGCCACAGTTCTTAAATAAATATAAGTTCAACTGCTGGCTTATTGCAATTCTGCTCAAATCATGGAATTTAAGTACGAGTTAGCAGATCCTACAGGTGTTTGATTGTATTTTTTGTACTTTAAACTAAGACAAACCCTCAATAAGCTAATAAAAGATCTGTAATTGATTGTATTAATATTTCTGTTAGTAGTCTTGATTAAAGGCTAAGAAAGTTTCTTCCAGCTCAAAACGCCGGATGTAAGGGGAGGAAATCCTACTGGAAGGGTACAAATTAATATTTAGACATTTATCGCAGCCATTGAGAACAAACGGGTTTGGTGTATTAATTGAAATAAAAGACCTAACTCCGTCAAACCGGAGTTTTACTGTAATCCATGTAGATTCTAAACAAACGATAATTCACCTGATTTAATTATGATGTAGTTAACAGCATAATTTTTATTGAAGTCTGCTCGGCTTTGAGATGACTACGATAATTGTGGTCCGCCTATTGTCTTTATAGAAGAAAGGACGAACACTAGTATATTTTAGTTGTTAAAGTTTGAGACAAAATTCAGCTCGGAGAATAAAGCAGTTCGGGGCGTCGGTGACCGCAAAGATTTAGGCGTTGACACGGCACTAATCACTAAGGTAAAGGTCCCGGGTTCGAATCCAGCCTTGCATTCGAACCCGACGTAGTTACAAATGGGCTTTTTTCCAAAAATACTGGCTCCCTGAGGGTTCATATAACCTCACAGTCGAAATACCCTCATTAAAAAATTAAATCAACCATTTTTAATTTCGTATTAATACTTTTTAATTTCACATTAACCCTGCTTAATTTCTTGTTATTACTTTTTAATTTTTAATTAACCCTTTTTAATTTTGTATTAATCCTTGTTAATTTCAAATTAACCCATTTTAAATTCGTCCTAAAACTATTTTACAAACAAATTAACCCTTTTTCATTTCAAATTAGAACAAATTAGTGTTCTTTTTTATCGAAAAAAAGACGAACGCTGGTTTATTTTTTCTGTTAAAGTTTGACACAAAATTCAACTCGAAGAATAAACTAGTGTTCTTTTTAATAATAAAAAAAGAAGAACATTAGTTTATTTTTGCTATTAAAGTTTGACACAAAATTAGACTTGTACAAGGAAATAGTGTTCTGCTTTATCAAAGAAAATACGAACGCAGTGAATTTTTCCTGTTAAAGTTTGAAACAAAATTCAACTCGTGGAACAAAGTAGTGTTGTTTTATCAAAGGAAAGACGAACGAACGTTTATTTTTTCTGTTACAGTTTGACACAATATTCAACTCGTAGAACAAACTAGTTTTTTCATTAAAGAAAATACAAACACTAGTTTATTTTTACTGTTAAAGTTTGACACAATATTCAACTCGTAAAATAAACGGATTTATATCCATGTCAGCAGATCGAGATGTAATATTTAGAGATTATGACGCCCGTTATATCAGTATTTAGCTTACATTTAATTGCAATTTATGACAAGAGTCGCAATTGTGGATGCCTCAAGGGAAAATTGCATTAGCCTCAGCGTAGCGGAATGATGGACTAAGTAGTGGGTGGATTGGGACGGAATTAAGGGTTTGCTCCGACAATAGTTGACAGGATTAGGCCCTGCTGTTCCCTTCTTCCATCAAATAAAAGGGTAATCGCATCAAACGGTTCGCGGACCATCAGAAGCAGCCCTGTTTTCAACATTTCTTCAATATCCTAATTACGGATAATTAATCTCCCGGGTTCATTCCATTTCCGTTCCCCTTTTCTTCCTTTTAATGCCTTTCTTACCGCGGTAAACGAAACTCCTGACAGCAAGCATGAAATATTACACATTTCATTCAATGTTGTAGTCATTTGAACGATTCAAAACTTGAAAATTTAATCAATAAAAATACCGACAACTGTGAAGTACGTCAGCTTTCTCCAGTTCTTTCCAGGTTTGCCATCGAAGCTTGTTGCTATCTTTTCATTGTTCAATACTTTCTTCTAAAATTTCAGTTTGCAGAAGGAAGAAAGGCTTCTTCCAGTTCCATTACAGTGACTTGCCTGTTCTCTTTATGTCTTGCAATACTGCTTTGTATCCTTGTTCTTATCTGTGCTATAGTTTTGTCAGCACCCGACCTTTCTTTCTGTAGGGGACTTTTTTCAGAATTTCATTTAAGCCACTGTACTTATTCCTATGTTCCAAAAGCAGTCTTAAATTTTTAAGCTTCCACGACCCAGTGTTTTCTTCCATCAATCTGGATGTCCTATTTTGGTTTATTTGCAGGTTTAACAGATGGCTTTCGTTTTCCAGATAAGTCGATATTCTTTTATTGGGTTTCAAATGTTTCTCTGCGATGTTCCCTACCTTACTCACCTAAGGTCAAACTGAGGATCTACACGTACACTGCGAATGACGACGCGATGGCGTCAATCACTCAACTGTTTCAAATGTCTCACAAAATATCTACCTGTGAAACAATTTAAAATAAAGTAAAATAAAAATAGGGTTAAATTGAACATAAGCATGTTTAATTTGAAATTGCAAAGCGTTAAACTGAAGTTAAAGATGGTTAATTTGAAATTTTAAAAAGGTTAATTAGAATTTAAAAAGGTTAATTATGAGTTAAATGATTAATTAATTTGAAACTAAAAAGGCTAATTTAAGTTAAAACGGTTAATTTGAAATTAAAAATGGTTAATTTGACGGAAAATAGCATTAAGAGGAACTTAAAAAGGGTTAATTTGAAATTAAAAAGGATTATTACATAATTATAGAAGGTTAATTTGAAATTAAAAAGGGTTAGTTTGATGTAAAATAGTTTTAAGGCTAAATTATAATGGGTTAATTTGATGTAAAATAGGTTTAAAATGAAATTAAAATGGGTTCATTTGAAATTAAAAAGGATTAATACGAAATTAAAATTCATTAATTACTATTTAAACAAAGGAAATTTGTTGCGAAAAAGGGTCTATTTCAAATAAAGAAGGTTAATTGGAAATTGAAAAGTAGGCTAATTTGATGGTAGAAAGGGTAATTTCAATTAAATTTAAATTAAAAAAAGGTTAATTTGAAGTTAAAAGGGTTCATTTGAAGTTAAAATTTTACTTTACATAATTGATACCATCTTCTAAGTTTTTGAATGCTTTAAACCGTTTATTTGTAACTAAAAGTGTTAATTTGGAGATAAAAAGGGTTAATTTGACATTTGAAACGGTTAATTTGAAGTTAAAAATTGTTCATTTTAAATTTTAAAAAGTCAATCTAAAGTAAAAAGGGTTAATTTGATATTTAGAAGGATTAATTTACAATTAAGAAGCGCTAAGTTAAAAAACGGTTAATTTGAAATTAAAATAGGTTAATTTAAATTAAAAAGGATAATTTAAAGTTTAAAACGGTTAATTTAAATTTTTAAAAAGGCAAAATTGCTTCGAAAAAATTCTAATTGGAAAATAAAAAGGGTTAATTTTTCAGAAATATATAACTGTAATTAATTTTCATACGGTTTTTAAGAGACCAATTGTTTTATATTTAAAAAAAATCTGAAATTAATAATAGAAGAATGATGTTTTATAATTTTACATTATTTTTAATTTTAATTGAAATTTTTATACGGTCTTCTAAGAATGCAAATAACCAGGGAAAATGTACTGTTAACCAACACAAAACGGCAACAATATTACCATAAATTCGTTAGATTTCGTGGTCCGATTGACCAAATAGCATCTTTCAATTAATTAATCTTTATGTAAGGTATTGGTTGAGATAAAAAAGTCGAATTTTTGAAAAATGGCAAAAAGGAGGGAAAATTCGAGAGGTTTGGTTGAGATGGAAGCCGGCGTATTTAGCCGAAGGTCGTGTGTTCGAATCCCGCTCGTGACACTGACGTTTTTATCTTAACCCATACCTTGCATAAAGATAATTTAATTGAAAAATGTTACTACAAATAATTCACAAATGATCATTTTTTTTATCAAATTTACGTTCATTTAATCAATGAATTTCTGGTCTTAGATTGGTATTTAATCAATAACCGGAGAAACTTTATGAATAAAATTATTAACGTTATTTATTATGGTGAGATGACGAAATTAATTATGTTACGGGAGGAGAAAAAATTAACAAACAAAGGATTGATATATCAATCTGATACTGCGTTTATTGCAAAATAAAATTCTCAAATCCACCTGAATTATACTTTACGTTATTTTATTTCGGCTTTTATTTTAACCCATCTTCTAATTGTTTTAAATTCGGTTCACAGAGTTAATTTGTAATTATATGGGTTAATTTTAAGTTAAAAAGGATTAATTTGAAGATAAAAATGGTTAATTTGACAGAAAAAAGCTATAGTGTATTGCTAGGTTCAGAAGTCTACTACTTCTATAAGATAAAATTTTTCTTCAATTATGAAATTCTTGTAGGAATTTTTTTTCGTTTTGCCCCATTATGTACTTACCTTATGTTTTAACATTGAAATTATAATCATCCTCTTTTCCATGTTTGTTTAGGAGTCGAAGATTATAGTTCTCGTTGGAACTGCGGGCCACAGACGGTTGTGAGGGCGACCAGGTCACCTCCGCCGCCCCAGTTGGGAGGCGGAAAGCTCAAATCCCTCGGCCTCTCGTGCGTCGTCTGCGGTGACACAAGCTCTGGAAAGCACTACGGGATCCTAGCTTGCAACGGATGTAGCGGATTTTTTAAAAGGAGCGTTAGAAGGAAACTAATATACAGGTAATCGACATTTTTAATACCATTTCTTACGAATGGTTACCTAAAAAAAAATTATTTTCGTTATAAAACATTTATCAATAAACAATAGATCTGTCGTCCTCAAATTCATGGTGTCTTAGCTTTGGTAAATAAAAGACTCTATATAAACAGTCTGAGGCAACAGGTGCAACTGACGGTGATGGACACGGTTGGAGGATGTGAATCCAACGTTGATAAATTATACAGGGGAATGCCTACGTTCAATTGGACAAAAACATTTTACAATAAAGAAGACATTCTCTCGCCGGGTACGCATTAATTTTCGTCCTAGATTGTCCGAAGACGATTACCTAAAATCTTCGATGGAAACATCGAAAAAGTCCAGCTTTTTTCGTTCATAATGTTAACGAATTCAGGTTTCTGAATTTCTTTCATTAAACACAAATAATCAAAAAACCGATTTTTACTATGTTTAGAGCAGCAGGATATGCTCAATATTTTTTATTGGTTTGCATGTTTTAAACAGTTTGTCTTTTCGTGGTATGATTTGCTCCAAGTATACTCCGCATATGCCATTATTTGGCCTAAGCTCGTAAATAATTGACGTTTGGACACAGTGAAACCATGAATTGTCTTTTAAAGAGGGGTGGATAAAAAAAATCCCCGGTAGAAATCCCGCTATTTATACACTGACAGGCAAAAAGATCCACCGAATTGATTTTTTTGCTTGATAAAAGAAAATTCTGCCCCTAATTTGTCCCATTGTTTTTATCAATAAATATTTGTTCATGCTATATTTTAAATTGGGAATATCAATTGGACGTAAACACACTTAACCTTAATCCAGAACAAGGATAAAGGATTTTTCAATAGTTAATTTTTACGAAATTTAACATTTTTCTTCAGTCTCTTTTGAATTATGAAGCAATAAACTGTTAGTTTTCATCTTTATTTTCTTAATTTCGATTTTTAAACTTAAAAATGCTACTTAGTGCTGAGGATGTTGCGCCTGGTGTGGCACTTATTGATGATGGACGATGCATCAGGTATGCGGGCTATTGCCATCGGAGTTCTTTAAGAAACTCTGCGAGACGTTTTTGAGAAACTGGGTCCAACCATAGAAGGCCCGGTTTTGAACAACCTAGGGTAACAGAACCACAGGATGGCCGTTTTTTAATTTTGGGAATTTTGCAAAACCTTGCTGTTATTCAAGCGATTCATCAGCTCCAGGAAGTTCGAGGTGTCCAAATTTCTGAATGCATTGCTTGAAGAAGATTAAATCTGTATGACTAATGGCTTTTCGCCCCGTAAGAGGACCAGAATCGACCAGAATACAGAGTTGTACAACTCCCATTTGCTCGAGAACAAAGCCATTTATCTTTGACGTTTGGTCTGCTGTACTTTTTACAGATGTGAGTATATTTGCTCTACGATCTCCAGGTGGGCGTGAAAGAGTGTGGAGAAGGCGAACTGGAACGTACGACGCCTGTAATTTTTCCAACAGCCAATCTTTTCAACTTAGCTCAGTAATGGTGTGGGCGGGAATTTCAATGGAGAGTAGCACAAAGTTGGTTGTCGTTCGAGGAAGGTCTTTGACGGCCACTCTCTATGTGGATGAAATTTTGGAACAACATGCGTTTCCTCCTCAAACGTTTATGGGATAACCTGAAAATAACGAAGAGCATGTCCATCACTTCCTGATACACTCCACGAAAGGACTCTTCCTGAAGAATGGGCCAACCTCCAGCAAAGAGGCATTTCCAGACGGGTAGAAAGTATGCCGATGCGTCTTCGAGATGTAATTAAGCCAAGAGGAGGAAATGGCACGATATTGAAAAATCTAATTAAAACAAATTTTATCTGTCCGTCTTTTTTTCATTTTTAATTTTTCTTATCAATTTACATATTTTTTTACTTTTTTTAGACAAATGTTAAAAAACGTGAAACTTTGATTAATATATACAAATATATACAAATCAATTTATATTACAAGTGGGTGGAATTTACTGCGTGTCAGTGTATTTAAGCCATTTTCCTCATTTTGGATTTTATACTAGTTTTGGCGTCTTGTAAAGGAATAAGAGTAGTAGTCGCCACACTTTCCCTGGTCGCCCGTTTGGCTAGACCATCAGCCAAGGAGTTGCCCTCAATGCCAGATTGTCCTCGAACCCAAAAGAAACAAATATTTACGCACTTCTCTTGTTTCAGCTCTAATGCCTTTTATGCTACCATAAAGATTAAATGATTTCAATCAGATCTAAAATCAAGGTGTTCCAAGCTTTGTAACGAGCTTTTTGAATGCCATATCTTCGATACCGCTCCTTTAGATCTTACTGACCCGTTAAAGCATATGGTGAAGAAAAAGTGGCAACGTGAGTCGCCCACCGTCTTGCGCACAGATAGCAGGCCAATCCCACAAGAGACCATTCTCATCCCCCATTTTTTCTGGATATGGAGGACCGTCATTAAAAAAACTACCTTGCTAAGTATTTTGTCAAATGAAATAAGCAGTTAAGTCCCCAATCCTAAAACGCTATCCTGGAGAGTTAAAACTTTTTGGTTCATGAGAAACTACATATAAATAAACTTTTACGTGACTCAGGAATTTTTCCCAAATAAACAATAAATAAATAAAAATAAAAAGAGAAAATCAGCAGTTAAACTCCCTGTAAATTCCAGTTTTGTTAAAAAATTTTTTAACCAATATATGAAAGAAGAATTCTTTATTTTAATACGTAATTTGATATTATTAATTCCAATTAACTTTAATGTAGTTTTGAAGTTTTTTTCGCTTAGAAAAGGGTTCATTTGATATTAAAAAGGGTCAATTTAAAGTAAAAAAGGTTAATTTGACGGAAAAATTTGTCCATTCTTATTCCAACGTTGAGCTATTTGAATACCATAGAAATATCCGGGGAGTGGCTCTTTTGTTTTTTTCCAATATGCTCGTTTTTCAATAATAATGCTGGAGGTTTTGTCAATTCAGCCAGGAGTTCTAGGTCACATCAGTTATTTGGTGTCGAAAATTTTTGTATAACTATGATTTATTTTTTTAATTTCTACTGTCCGATTTACCGAAGAGTTTCAAAGAATATATCCATTTTATAAGGACTTAAATACTGTTATTAATTAACTAATATTTTTACGTAAGGTCTCGGTTGAAATGAAAATTCAGTGACACGAGCAGGATTCGAACCCACGACCTTCGGTTCATTTCACGATAGGTCAAGTGGTTAGAGCAGCGGCGTATTTAGCCGATGGTTGTGGGTTCGAATCCCGCTCGTGACACTGACTTTTTCATTTCAACCAAGACCTTACGTAAAAAGATTAATTAATTGAAAGAAGTTATTTGGTCAATCGGACCAGTGACCGTTTCCTTTATTGAGATCATCTTCAGGGCCTGAGATTTATAAACATTGTTTAAATTTTACAAATACATGTTTTACATCCTACATGTATTTGTAAAATTTAAACAATGTTTATAAATCCCAGGCCCTGAAGGTGATCTCAATAAAGATCGAAACGTTGGCTCGATAAAGAAAATGTTTTTCTAAAACCTACGTCACACCAGACCGCATCTAACGACCTCCAAATAACTATTATTAAGAAATTTATCATTTTAACTAATATAAAAATTGTCTTTGAATATCAGAACTTGTTTGAAGGTTAATGAAATTTTTCTTTTTTCAAGAAGATATAGATGGTTTTCTTTGAAATCGGCCTTATCCCTGATTTTATATGGGAGATAATCAGTGCAAACCTTAATTCCGGAGTTTAACTTTAGATTAATTCATCCGTGCGGCGGAGGATCTGGCCTCCTGAGTGATCTTATCGAACAGTTTCTAAATCCTCTGCAACGACCACTTGATGAATCGACTTTTGAGTCCACTAATCCAGGGGGTTGAAAGGGGGCCAAAGTTTCCATTAGGGCCCTGGTACCATGTGTGGAAGAGGGAGAAATCAATTATACAGAAGTAGTGCGCCTTTTTAAATCGAATCTTAATACCCTGCAGTGATTGACCGTGTAATCCTATTTAGGGTCGGCTCCATCCCATTGTTCGACCCTCTTCCCCACAGACTCCCACTTGTCACCTACAAATTACTGAGAGCGTCTCCACTCTGCTCTCTGAAAGCTTTCAAACTCAGGTTTCATGTTTGTTGACGTTTGCAATATTGAAGTTGTAACGGAGTTATATCTGCCAGGCCTACCAATTTAGAACAGCCACTGCCTTTTGTCCGCCCTCTCCGTCGGCACAGCACTGTTCTAGACACCGTCCTTTCACAACCATCAACACAATTGTCTTCATTTGCATATTTTACTACATTTTACTCCTACAATCGATTCATTTATTTATCTAAAACTGCATCCAAGTTATTTAAATTTTCTAAAGGACATTCCACACATTCCACAGAACACTTCTCTTTATTTCCCACCTTCGATCGGCCTCCATTTCACCTTGTATTCGACAATAAATAATAAGCCATAATTTTTATATTTAAACTCATTGTCCCACCATGCATTAAGTGAATTGAAGTCCCCCGTTAGAAGGACTGGGTGAGATAGATCATAAATTACTTTCTTTTTTTCTTCTTCATCCCAATTCTTGTTTGGTAAATACACAGACATGCAGTAAATTCCACCCACTTGCAATATAACTTGGTTTGTATACAGGGTGAATTGCTACTCGTGCTACAAACTTCTCCAGTAGATTCTTCACCCTAAAATGAACAAAAAAGTTCATATTGTCCATGGTCCGNCGGACCATGGACAATATGAACTTTTTTGTTCATTTTAGGGTCAAGAATCTACTGGAGAAGTTTGTAGCACGAGTAGCAATTCACCCTGTATATTGTTATACATTAATTAAAGTTTCACACTTTTTGACGATTAATAATCGAGTCTTTGTTTAAAAAAGTACAAAAAAATGTAAATTGCTAAGGAAAATGGAAAAAAGAGGAACAGATAAAATTTGTTTTAGTTTTGTTTTAGATTTTTAATTAACATTTCAGTATCGTGTAAC